CTTCTCATTCTCCCTTACCTCCTCACCTCGTCCTTCGGTTGAACTTTTCCTCCTATTTCCCCTCTTGTCTCTAACTTATTTTCACCTTAGCTTGCAGGCTCTGGTCTGTCAAGCTCCCTCCATGTAAAAGTGCGGACCAGTCCCTCTTCCTGGCCGCACCCACCCCCATGGTGCCCGCCCATCTCTGACCATTTATCCGCCTATTCCTTCAACGCTCCCTCTGTCGCTCACTCAATCGCTCCATCTATTGCCCCTTCGCATTCGTATACCCTTTCCGTCTACCTGTTGGATGGCATGGCGGACTATCACGACGCCGGTGGGCTAATTCTCGACGGCCCCTTTGATCCCGACGCCCAGGCCACCGTCACGGACTACATTGACTACACCGAATACCTCCCCGCTGACCTCATTCGCTCCCTCACTCTCATTCGCGGCCTCGACGAACGTTACTTGGAAGCTACACAAGGCGTCCATGATCTCACCAAGGCTTATGGCCAGCTGCCCACCCTCCCCTCGGACGTGCGTCCCGACGCGCGTGCTCTGCGCAAAGATATCTCCGAACAACTTGATCGCGCCATCAACGCCCGTGAATCGGCATATGCGGAGGCTTGCCGTCTATACGATGTCATTGATCGCCACTTCAATCGGCTAGACAGCATCAAGCAAAAGCTCGAAGCTCTCCCCAAGCCCGCGTCGCGCGAACCCACTCCTCCTCCCGCGCCGCCCGTCACGTCAACCAAAAGAAGCCGCTCGACCAAGAAAACAGAGGAAGTTTCTGGCCCGCCCACCACGACGCGCATCACGTTGCGCTTGGATGGCCACGATACTGCTCGCGCGACAACTGTGCAGAAGTCGCGCACACGTCGATCTCTCATCTCTGCCGAGCATTTGGCCGATTTGCACCCCGATTCGCCTATTGCCAGCACAGAGCATTCTGATGTGGAGCCGGATAGCAAAGTAACACCCTCAGAGTCACCTCCGGAGCCGGCAGCAGCGCCCGCCAAGAAGGAGAAGGGCCGTCGGCGATCGCGGACTTCTGGACTGGCTTCGACCGGTGCTCAAGGCCCTTCTGCTCCAGCAATATCGACTAGCAATGCGTTAGCGATGCTCAAGCCACCTCCTGACGACGCCAAACCTGGAAGTGAGGATATGCCATGGTTGCGTTTGACTGAGTGGGAAATGACAAAACTGCGGAAGAAGATGAAGAAGAATGCAGTTTGGCAGCCCAGCGAGGTCATGATTCATCGCGAGCTGGCCTTGCGCGGCCGTGGCTGGGAGGCTTACCGGGCAGCGAAAGCGCAGGCCGAGGCCACTGGTGCTGAATTCTTGGACTGTGACGACATAATGAACACGTACGTTCCGGGCAAGCTGACCAAACGCAGCGAGGCTACCGGCGATACCGAGGGCACGTTCGAGACCAAGCTTAGCAACCGTGGTATGAAGCTGAACGAGGCCAAGAAGCTTAAACGGGAGAACCAGGCCCGAGAGCAGGCGGCAGCCGCAGCCGCCGCCGCCGCCGCAGCAGCAGCACAAGAACAAACAGCCAAGGATGGAGTGCAGCCAGCAGTGGCTCCCAGTAATTTAACCACAGCCAGTGTTCCAGAAGTCCCAGCTGTGAGCAAGCCCACTCGTGCAGGGAAAAAGAGGAAACTCGAAGAGGTGACACCCCCAGAGGTTCCCCCCATTCCTTCAGCTCCCGTCCCCTCCACATCTTCTGCCCCATCTGCTTCTGCTGCTCCCTCCACGTCTGATGGTCCCTCCAATGTTGAACCCTCCCAACCCGACGGTCCTCCTGCTTCTACACCCTCTGTTCCTCCTACTGCTACCTCCGCTACTTCCCCTGTTCCTACTGCCCCCGCTGTCTCCGCTGCTCCTACTGCGCCTGTGGAAATTGAAACCCGTCCTTCGCTGCGAAGCGCGACTAAACGCCGCCGAACTAGCAAAGGATCCCCCACACCCGTTGATCCAAACATCGTCATCCCTGAAGAATCACCTACAACTGCAGCACCAGCTCCTACAGCTGTAGAAACCTCCGAGTCGCAGAAGCCTTCCTTACCGCCGTCTCCAATTGGACCCAAGCGCGCCATCGCACAACCCACGATCACAGCCGCAAAAGCGGCTACGCCAACCCCCCCGGTTACCCGACCCCCATCTCGCCGCTCGGCTGCTTTATCATTAGAACCAACCACCAATGCCAGCGCCGTTGCGCCTTCTACCAAGCGCGAACTCCGTCAGAAAAGCGCCACACCTGCACGGAAGACTCCTGTGCCAGAAACTGCTCGAGCCGCAAGTGTGAGTGCTCCCAATCGCAGGCGTAAGCGCCCCGCACCCGGTCCTGTGTCTTCAGGTCAAGATGGTGGTGCAGCGGTAAGCTACGGTCGCCGCAAAGCGAAGCCCGGCAAGAAGCGGATTGGGACGCGTGAGGTTGGCCTAAAAGATGGTACTCTGGCACGCGAGGACATTCGAATCGACGAGGATGGAGTCCTCGAAGAGATCGACCCGAACGAACCACGGTATTGTCTGTGTGGAGACGTGAGTTTCGGGACGATGATCTGCTGTGAAAATCAAGAGGTATGTGTTCTATAATTCTACTTTGATGGCGCCGCTAACATGAGTAGTGTGACCGAGAATGGTTTCATCTTGACTGTGTCGGGCTGTCCGAGGTGCCGAGTCGCACGGCCAAATGGTACTGTCCGGATTGTCGGGTAAAGTTCAACAAGGGCGCAGACGGAATAGTGAAAAACAATCCGCGGAGATGAAGCTATACCATACTGACTGGACAACTCTCCGATTTCGAATGGGTGGTGGATATTCATGAGACCACGATTAGGCGCTTGGGCAAATTGTTGCATAGGGCTTGATTTTGCTCTCTACTTTGTTCTCTTGATTGCAGCGTGGCGAAGATTTTATGGAGTAAAACCCCCTTTGTTGATTAATTATTTATCATAAGAGCTAGTTCGGAACCTGGTGATGGCGCTACACTGAGAGAATAATGCAGTTAATAACTTTCCTAGTCGTGCACATGAAGCGCATCAATTAAGTAAACGTCTCGCAGCCCCTTTTAAGTTGAACAACAACCATCAACGCAGTAAATGAGAATACTCTACGAAGCCAGACCTTACAAGCCAATCCTCCACCTTATACTTATCTCCCCTCCCCCACCCTACTTATTACGGGTTTCTCTTTGGATTGTGTGGGTGCGATTTCTAATGTGGCTGTTTAAATCTGATTATGTCTTCAGATGATGATCGGCTGCTGCGTCATGCTTGGAGCGAGTTCTTGGTAGCAAAAGTATGGGTTAATCCACGCCGATGTGCTCCGAGCTCTCAAAGACAATATCCGTCCTCGAATCGGTGCTGTTTGTCCACCAACCAGCATGTCTTCATCCAGAATGTAGCGTGGGGGTTCCATACTTCGGTCTATCAATAACCCACCCAGGTCGGACTTCGCTCCGAACGCCGACACCCCACTGGTTTCAATTTTACTGCACATATACACACACGTTTCTGAAAACCTTCTATTCACAAGTCATAGTTAATCTATATGATACAATGGACTAAGCAATATCCGGCAGCGACTTCTCAACCTCCATGGCATCCTTGATCTTCTCTGCCACTGCCTCCGCCTGCTCGGCACTCAAGCGAGCCAACGGCCGACGTGGGAATCCACCATATCCGTAGTAGCTCTGAATGGCACTCTTCGTACCGGGGATAGCCGCCTTAGTGAGAACCCAGTCGGCCTTACTCAACAGCTCCTGGGCCTCCATGGCCTCTGTGAAGCGACCCGCGCTCCAGAGGTTGAAGATCTGCACACACAGCTTGGGGATGACGTTCGCACCACCCGCCAGGATCGCGGAACCTCCGGACGCCAGCGTCTGCAGGGAGAAATCCGCAATACCTCCGAATGCAACGTACGGGTGGACCGCCTCTGTCTTGGTGCTGGGGAACTTGCGCTGGGCCGGAGCCAAAGGCGAAGAGGGAGTAATGGCGTGCAGAGCGGAAGCAACACGGGTCAACTTGCCCGTGTTGGCGCAGGTGAACTTTGTGCCTACGATGTTGGGGTGCTGAGAGATGCGGATGATGAGGTCGGAGTCCATGTCAATTCCTGCCACGGCACCAGGATAGTTGTAGAGGATGAGAGGGATGGGGGAGCCGTCGGCGACGCTGGTGAAGAATTCGTAGAGGGTTTGGTCGTTGCCGGTGGCGTAGCGGTAGTAGCTGGGGGGAACGATCAGGGCGTACTCGGCTCCGGCCTCGTAGGATTCCTTGCAGAGCTCGATGGTACCGCGGATGGATTGTTCGCTGGCACCTGCGATGACGGGAACATTGGAGAAGCCGGCTTCAACGAGTGCGGACCGGGTCTCGTTGATCACGGTCTTGCGCTCGGCCCGGGTGAGGTGTACGGCTTCACCGTTCGAGCCCATGCAGACGAGACCAACGAGACCGGCTTTCGCGAGGCGAACGGCATGCTTGCGGATGGTAGGGACGTCGAGCTCTTCGGTTGAGGGGTCGAAGAAGGTCATGGTTGGAGCGTAGACTCCGGGGCGGAGCGGGGTAAAAGACATCCTGTAGGTCGCTGTTAGTTGTGGTCTTGGGTTCAGAGGGAGTGGCCGATGTACTTGACTTGTCTGTAAGGTATATGTGATTAAGGACTTTTCAATCTATGGGATATGTGTGTTGCGAAGCTGTAGTTGGCGTTGCGCATCATTTAATGGACTTATATAGTAGACCACCCCTCATGTTTACCCCGCGTGCCCTGCCGTACCGTTTCGGTATCATCCCACGTCTCCACCGTTTCGGACAAATTTATCCACCAATAAGCATGAGCCGGTAGTAAACTTGCCTCTTTGGTCCGTATCAAACGCCGACAGCAGCTGTCATACAGTGAGAAAAGTACCAGCAAAGCTGCATGAGTACTAAGTGAAGAGGGGTTTTTGAGCGGGCAGTATAGTAGCATCAATTGAGAGCAACTCGTAAGGTACTGTTAGACACAAGAGACATCAGATTGACTGTATCATGTCCTGTATATCTTCCACCATTGATGCAATTCCATACCACTTATAGCTCAACCAGCCATCGGTTAATGACCCCGCAAAACCCGGTCCAGCAGGATCTCTTATATGACCGCCAACCCACTGAGCGACAAAATTATTTCCTCTTTTCTTGTCATATTCTTTCCCTAAAATTTCTTATCTTTAGACAATTCACACCACAGCAATCACAATGGCTCCCCCAGCTGTGTTGATGGTAAGTTATCCCTCCCATTTCACGCGTATCCCCACTAACCAACAACACAGGTAGGAACAGGCGAGTACACGACCGGCTACGTCGGCGGTACAGCCTCGACCTCCGACAAGAAAGTGGGTGTCGTGGGCTTGACGCTCTTCGACTTGCGTCGTCGCGGCAAAGTCGGCGATTTGAGCATGGTGGGTGTATCTGGATCCAAATTCCCCGGAATCCGTGAGTCTCACCTTTGTTCCCTTTCGTACTCCGCAATTCGCCAAACTGACTGAGAAAAACCCAGGCGCACACTTGCAGAAGAATATCTCCGAAGTCTACAACGGCCTTGATGTCTCTTTCACCTCCTTCCCCGCCGACAACACCTCCGACCCAGAAGCCTACAAAGCCGCCATTGACGCCCTCCCCGCCGGCTCTGCAATCACCATTTTCACTCCCGACCCCACCCATTATCCCATCGCTTTGTACGCCATTCAGCGCAAGATCCACGTTCTCATCACCAAGCCTGCGACCAAGCTCCTCTCCGACCACCTCGACCTGCTCGCTGAGTCTCGCAAGCACAATGTAGTTGTGTACATTGAGCACCACAAGCGCTTCGACCCGGCCTACAGTGACGCTCGTGCTAAGGCTGCCAAGCTCGGCGACTTCAACTACTTTTACAGCTACATGAGTCAGCCCAAGAGCCAGCTGGAGACGTTCAAGGCTTGGGCTGGCAAGGACTCGGATATCTCTTATTATTTGAACAGCCACCACGTGGACGTTAATGAGAGCATGGTGCCGGACTATGTCCCCGTGAAGGTAACGGCTAGTGCGGCTACAGGAACTGCTGTCGAACTGGGTTGTGCCCATGAGACGGAGGACACGATTACTCTGCTTGTGGAATGGAAGAAGAAGGATGGGTCACGAATGGCTACGGGTGTTTACACATCTAGTTGGACCGCGCCACAGAGGGCCGGTGTACACTCTAACCAATACTTCCATTGTAAGTCGCTCCGTGGGGTTGGTGTATAGCCTTGGAGAATGGGCGGTGCTAACAAGTGCAGATATGGGATCGAAGGGCGAAATTCGTGTTAATCAGGCTAAGCGTGGCTATGATGTTGCCGAGGATGAGGCTGGATTGTCTTGGATTAACCCGTAAGTTTCTACATTTGGCGTTAACTGGCTTGTTGTGCTGACTGACAGTTGCGCAGGTTCTATATGAAGTACGCACCCGACGAGGAGGGTAACTTCGGTGGTCAGACTGGCTACGGATACATCAGTTTCGAGAAGTTCATTGATGCCGTCACAGCTGTTAATGAGGGACGGTTGACGCTTGATCAGCTGGATGCCAGGCCGATCCCGACTTTGAAGAACACGATTGCCACAACGGCAATCCTGCATGCAGGACGCATTTCCTTGGATGAGAAGCGGTCGGTGGAGATCGTGACTGAGGATGGAAAGTGGGAGCTGAAGTAGATACCTTTAGAGACACTTGTATGTAATTACTTTGTTATGTATGGCTGTATGAACGTTTATGATTCTGGTCCATCTGTTGCGGTGAACATGCAGGTTTGCGACAACTGTTCCTCGGAAGCTTATTGCGGCAACTATGCTAACCCCTTGGCCTTGAGGCTTGAGAAAGGGGCTTTGAACATTTCGGATAGCCCGGTTTGAAGGGGATCATTATCCCCCGTTACAGGATTCTCTCTTTGTTCAGGCGGCAGCGATTGAGGCTGTGACCCGGAAAGTCGCTCAGACTTACGCTACGACTAAGCACTAATTCAGTGAGTACATCATTGACACAAATCCCAATCACAAGCAGAGCATTCGAATCTCCAATGTGTCTATTTAGCAACTGCCGATCACACGAGGCATAATTGCATTGTGATTGACAACAAATTCCTGCCTGGCCAACTGGCACTGACAAAGTGGGCCAGACCGTGAAGGATTGGCAACCCCACGGGGGCGGGAAGAAGATGGAGATGAGATGGAGTCGATCCCTAAGTCGGAACAACAAGACAAAGGGGTTCGTCTCGACTCTCGGCATGCACAGACGAAAAATGGGTACGCATAGAATTAGACCTCAAACATCTCCTACAGGAATTGATACCTTGATGCAGGAGTGACTCCTCCCCACCCACTACAGATCAGATACATGTTAATGCCTGAACAAGATTTCTTCGCTGAGACGTGCATGGTATGTAGGACACCAAACATCTCTTCATCAGGCATCCACCTAAATGCCAGACCACTGGGATCAAATCCAATCCCATTCTGCCATCCGAGCCATGCGAGCCTTACGGATGCCCTAATTGACAGGGGCGAACAATGGCCATCACAAAGGAAAGATATCCGCGGCACACATCTTTTCATGGTTTAAAACTTAGCAGAAATTGTAGCCCGCCACCAGTCAGCCTGGGAGAGCCAATCAAGGGCCTGGACCGGGTCGGGGCTGATCGGGCTGGGGGGCAAAAGAGGCTCACCGCCCGGGCGGCGGGCCTCCCTTTTCTCTGGCCCGATCCCCATGCTCCAGCTTTTTATTAGATTTGTTGGCAGTAGTGTTGTTTTTTTTTTCTTTTTCATGCAATCGCTAGGTCTTGGGGTTTAATTCTTTTGGGTTGTTTCTTCTACACACGATTCTCTGAGGACTTTCTTTCCTTCCCTCCCTTCTCTCTCTTCATCTTTCGCGCCCATCCCTCTCTCGCACCCCCTCTTGCACTCTTTTGTTTTTGGTTATTTACTATCGATTTACCTATCAGACTCACCCGGGCGGTTGGTGTTCGTTATCAGGAGTTCTTGTTGATCACATCGGTCTTTTACTTGGTCACTCGGGCTGCTACTCTGTCGATTTCTCCCCTTACCTACGCCATTCAGCCTCTCGATACCGCCCTATATCCCCTATTGACGCATCACATATCTCTTCCTTGACCGGCAGCGTTACCCTTGCGTCTGACCCCTGAGGGTGTCTCAGTCGCGCAAAGGGAATTTACACGATTCCTATACTATAACAATCTACCGAGAACGCTTCGTTTTGAGTGTCCCCCGCGTGGCTGTCCTTAATTGAGACTGTCACTGTGACATCGATCGTCGTCATGGCTCCACGAGATTCCAGCACTATTACCTCCCGTCGACGCCCCTCTTTCTCCCTCCGCACTCGGCCCCGGACTGCTACAACTTCGACTGCTCATACAACCGGATTGGAACATGATGTGTGGCATGGGCTGTCTGTGGTGGATTCAGGAGATGATGACGACGGCCAGGTCTTGGAAGATATGAACCATTTCCCAGAGCCTGTTCCCAGGCGCCGTGAAGCCAAGAGCTTCTCCAGCTTACGCCATCCCGTGGACGGTCTGCGAGCTCTGGGCCGTCGCCTCTCAGTGACGCTCCGCAACAAGTCGTCCAGGCATTCCGTTCATCCTCAACCAGAAGCCATGAGAAACTCCTGGTGCAATGAAATCAGCATTAATCGTCGACCTTCACTTGAGAGTATCTCCGCGCTACATGGCTTCTACGCCCATGCTGGCGCCCCTGTTCCGGGAAATGGCCTGGAGCCACCCGTTTTCTCGAACGATATTTATGCGGGAGCGGCTGCTCGCGCTGCAGCTGCAGCTCAGAATGAGCTGGCAAGAGCCCTGCGGGACAGTATCAAGCTCTCGGATGCTAAGTTGACCCAAGATTCGGAAAGTGGCATTGGCATCGATCTCCGCGATCGCTCGGAGCTATCTGACCCAGCTCTGGCCATAGTACGGATTGATCCTGTCAGCTGCCTTCCTCCTGAGGTTATGTCACAGGTGTTCTCCTACCTTGATCCCGAGTCCCTCATGCAGTCTGAACTAGTTTCACGTGCTTGGAGTGAGCAGGCATCCTCCCAGCACATCTGGCGGCACGTGTTTCGTCATACCTACGGACAACACCCTAGTGGGCTTCCTTTCAAGAAGAGACAGTCTGCTGGTTTGGGCAAGGCTCATCCTAAGCAGGATTGGAAGCGGATGTTCCTGGTTCGCCGTGCTCTGGAACATAGGTGGAAAGAAGGGAAGGCTGCTGCTATCTACCTTCACGGCCACAAGGACAGTGTCTACTGTGCGCAGTTTGATGAGTGAGTTGTTTCCATAGTTAAGATTCGCATTCAAGCTTTATTCTAATAATGTCCCAGGGACAAAATCATTACGGGTTCTCGCGATCGGACCATCCGAGTTTGGGACGCTCATTACCCTTGGCCATGCCGGAAGATCATTGGCCCTCCTCCGGGCGATGTCTCTGGTATTGGTCCGGTCAATAACCCGGCGCAGCAATCAGCTGGAAAGCCGCCCTTCTTGACCATTTGCCCTCCGCCGACGCGCTCTGCGGGCATCATGGCTCCTATTGAGCACAGCGCGGACTATCACAGTGCTTCCATCCTCTGTCTCCAGTTCGATGAAGAGATCATGGTCACCGGTTCGTCTGACTTTACCTGCATCGTGTGGGACATCAAGAACGACTACAAGCCGATTCGTCGCCTAGTGGGCCACCAGGCAGGAGTGCTGGATGTCTGCTTTGATGACCGGTACATTGTGTCCTGCTCCAAAGACACTACCATTTGTGTGTGGGATCGGCACACAGGGGCCTTGGTGAAGAAACTCCTTGGCCACCGAGGACCAGTGAATGCTGTTCAGCTGCGCGGAGATCTGGTCGTTTCTGCAAGCGGAGACGGCGTCGCCAAGCTCTGGAACATCACTTCTGGTCTTTGTGTCAAGGAATTCCCCAGCAAGGACCGTGGACTGGCGTGTGTTGAGTTCAGTGATGATGCTCGAACCATTCTCACTGGTGGCAACGACCAAGTGATCTATCAATTTGACGCCAATACCGGCGAAATGGTCAAAGAGCTCAAGGGCCACGCAGGCTTGGTTCGCTCCTTGCACCTGGACAGCATGAATCAACGAATCGTCAGTGGTAGCTACGACATGAGTGTCAAAGTATTTGATGCTCAAAGTGGCGAGCTTTCCATTGACCTTCCGGGCTGGACAACGAGCTGGATGCTCAGCGTCAAGTCCGACTATCGGCGCATTGTGGCCACCAGCCAAGACTCTCGCGCTGTCATAATGGATTTTGGATATGGACTAGATGGCATAGACCTACTGAAAGAGTAATAAATCTGGCTAGACATTTGCTTTTCGCTTATTTGCTGGGGAAAAGTTTAGGCTTTGGAGTTTTTGGGATATGCGGGTTTTCTTCTTGGTCTTATTAGCAGGGACATACATTGGCTAGCGATAGATGCTTACATTTTTGCTCAAATTATTAATTCATTTGCTTGGAAACAGAATCTACTTCAATTAGGCTGCTTTTGCCTGTAAGAACTTCGACTTCCGTCTGGTGCAATTCTAGCCTGAGGTATCCGTAGATTGGGGAGGCTAGGTACCGTTGTGGATTTTCCAAAAGCGGCTTAGCGTGTGCAGTCCCGTGGGTTTTGTCGACAGCAACAAAACATCCCCATCTGCTCAACTTGGCCTTTGTTTTTCTTCGAAATTAACAAGACAGATCCAGCGCTACAGGGTGTTTCTCTTTGTTACTAATTCTTATCTCAACTCCTCTCCGATATTTGCAACCCCCTGCCAAACCCTGCATTCCTTCTAGCCCGGCATTCAGCCTTCTCCTACACTACTTACCCCACTATGTCGGAATCCAGGTTCGTCGGGCATCTGCCTCTGTTCAGAACGGCTCGTTGGTCCTGTGCACCCAAGGCTAACAATCCAGGATAACAGACAAGAGCTGTTGGCATGGATCAACAACCTGCTGCAGTTGAACATGACCAAGGTTGAGCAGTGCGGAACTGGGTAGGAACCTCCCTGACAGACGTGGAAAGTCGGCTGCAGCAGACGCCTCAGCAGCGCTTTCAACAAACAATTAGATATGTCTCAGGCCCATAGGCTGACAGAATGATTGTACAGTGCCGCTCTGTGCCAGATCTTCGATTCGATATTTAGTGAGTTGGCGTGACGAGCCCACCCCTTTTTTTCCACCCCCGCCTGGATATGTGGCTTACTAGTTGCCTTTTAGTGGATGTCCCCATGTCTCGCGTCAAGTTCAACGTCAACACCGAATACGCCTACCTTCAGAACTTCAAGGTTCTTCAGAGTACGCCTCTTCCGAACGAATTGTGGTTTGGGAACGCTGTTTCCGTTAACACAGGCCTGTTTAGACGTCTTTGCCAAACACCAGGTCGACAAGCCGATTCCCGTCGAATCTCTCACGAAATGCCGTATGCAGGACAACCTTGAGTTCCTCCAGTGGACGAAGAAGTACTGGGACCAACACTACCCGGGTGGTGACTACGATGCCGCCGCTCGTCGCAAGGCCTCCGGTGGTCCCCCCGCCACTGCGGGTGGCTCTCGCGCAGGTGCAAGCTCCGCCGGAGCGGCACGCCGTGGTACTACGCCTACCATTGGCGCCGCCCGCCCCCGTGTCGCTGGTGCCGCAAGCGCTGCCAACGTGTCTGCGCTGCAGCAGGAGATTGCTACGCAAAAGGAGGCCATCGCCGGCTTGGAGAAGGAGAGGGATTTCTACTTTGCCAAGCTGCGTGACATCGAATTGCTTCTTCAGAGCGCCATCGAGGCCGATCCGGAGCTCGAAAAGGATGATGACTCCCTGGTGAAGCACATCCAGGGCATTCTGTACTCGACGGAGGTATGATCCCACACTAGCCGGACCTCTTTTGTTGCCTGTCAAGGAGGCTTCTGATTCCCGAATCCGAGGTTAACATGTGTTGCAGGAGGGATTTGAGATTCCCGAAGCGGAGGCTGGGGCGGATGAGCTTGAGACCTTCTAAGTTCATACCTAATAATGTTCGTCCCATTATTAATACCCCTTCATGTGTAGCACAAGCGTTCGTCAGTCGTCTTACGGCGTCTCTATGTCTTTAACTAGTTTTCCTTCTGTTTAGACCGTTGGTCAGACATGCGAGTAGGGTGAGGGGTTGAGGAGTGAAAAAGCAAGGAGAGTGGCTGGCGAGATGCAGACCCTTTGTATAGTTGTGACACAGTCTTTTTCTTTCTTCTCTGTCTCGACAGGTAGTTGGAAGCAGGTTCCATTCCCATGTTCTTTCTTCCTCTCTCTTCTCTAGCCTGCATTGATACTGATAGAAAGGTATTCCAATATGTGGAATGAATTAAGTGCGTCGACATACGCAATGCGCCGTTCCCATCGGCAGACTAATCCTGATGCAGTAAACTGTCGAACAGTGATCCCTTAGTCTTGAGCATACTACTCGATGAGCAACTCGTGTATGAGTTAAATCTGTGCATTATTGCTCTTCGTTGCTCCAATCCAAGACCAATCAATTCTACACTGGCCTCATCAACAAGCCACGACTAAGCTACCGGCAACAGCTTCCATCATACGATTCTGGCTACTACTAGTATCCAGTGTTCAATATTTTTACAAGAGTAAAGCAGATTCAATATCCAAAACTATCCCACACAACCATTCAGCCAGCCGTTCATTTACATCATCCAAGTCTGGTCTAATTGATTTTCATCACTTAATATATATGAGGGCCCGACGCGGCATGATAGTGAGACACGCCCACATTGTTTCAATATGATGTGGCATAATGTGCTACTTTTGAGAATATGAATCTGATCTTGGGATTTGTGTGTGTGGATTCAAGAGGGAGGAGCCTGAAGTTGGGGGCTGCGTGATACGCAATGCAGATTTATATTCTTCATAGTACCTAGTACCACTTTGTGTCATCTATACTATGTCAGGCGGTATTATGGGTGTGTTGGATGTTTCGAAATATTGCGGGGAGAGGAGAGATGCACACAGGGGGGTTGTAGATGAAAGGGATAGTAATAAGTGGTTGATTAGGTAACTCTGCTTGAATCATATGGTGGTTTGAGAGCTTAGTGAGGGACTCTTTTGCTAGTCATTCATTTCGAGAGCAATTTATTTCGTCTATTGTTTTAGCTACGACAAGGTAACGATGATGTCTGGTAGTCATGGGAGCAGCATACGAAGAGGTCTTGTGAATAGTTCTTAGGGGAGATGAATCTATGACCATCAGAGCTTTTAGCATGATGATTGTCGATAAGTCATTGAGGAATGCTAAATGTCTTTGCTTGACGTTCTTTTATGTAGATATATGCTAGGATCTTGCATGACGAGAATGTCGATCACTTAGGTACTGTGTCAGACTGATCATGATTTTTTGCATATAGTGAGAAATGCAAATCACGTCCTACATGTCACATGATTGATTCAGTTATAAGCATTTTACTCCCCGAGATCTTCCAGTAGCAATGATGAACATTCCTCGAAGCTTCCAAGATTGTTCTCGATGGCCGGACGGGAGATGAACATGACAGGAGCCGGCCGGGCTGCGATATAAATAGCGGGTTCTAAAGAGTGAGGTGGGGCTCTGAGACACGGAAAAGAGACATACGTACGTATACGTGTATCAAAACCGCAGCCAATTCTGTTTGTCTGCCTAGTCACCAATATTCTCCTTTTTTTTTTCTTTTTTCTTTTGCTTCTCTTTTTGTTTTGGGAAGATATTATAAGCTGACTCGGGTATCTACTGCTGGGATCTGATACTAGCTAACTGAGTTGAGCTTATGGAGTGCATCCTCTTGCATGACTCGACTAGTCCCTGTTCATCTCGATAGCGACGATCCATCGTCTGTTGTGGATGAGAGTGATTCAGATGGGGCGTACCTTGCAGAGTGAGTGGTGAGTGGTGACATCGCAGCGGCTAAAGCCTTAGAAAGTCGTTAGGGAGTGAGTCCCTTGCATCATTGCGTGGGACCTAGGAAGAACTTCGGGACGTTGTGGGTGTCTGTTTCTAGACTCTAGATGGACTTTTTTCTTGGTGATGTGGATTAGTGAATCGCGTTCTCGATTAGATGATGGATCCCGTGTGTGGGTGAGGGTGTGGATGTTGTCTTGTTGTTTTGGTGGCCTCATGGGGTCGAAATCCTGCCGTATCTACCTGCTTGCTGTGAGTTCTTGGGTTATGAATTGGTATTGGTGATGTCTTGTTTGCACCCTGCTAGCGCATGCAGCATCAGCAACGGACAGGATTGCTATGTGGACTAGTAACGAAAGATCTGGTTGTTGGCCCCCTGTCTGTCTGCGAGGTCGAACTTGTATGCAGGATTGCTCGGTGTGAAAACTAGACCACCACGGGATTAGGTCGTCTGTCTACCTGCTGTAGATAGTCCTGATTAGACGGCCTTTGACACGGGATAGAACCGTGAATGATGAGATATGATAGGCACTTGGATGATATTGCAGCCGGGTCTCTAATTAACAGGCGTGGTCTAGTTAGATTGTGTGTCCGGCGTAAACAAACATCTAATGAAACTTAGCGCCCGGCGTTTTATTAAACTCAGGCTTGGCTTCCCCCCTTTCGGACAGCGCCCCGGACCAATGACGAAGAGCAATCCATGTCTTTCCCCAAATTGGGTCGAGTCTATCGTACTGTATCTGCCGTACGAGAATTCGTGTGTATTGACGAATCCCCAAGCGAGCTGGTCTGCGCAAACCAGAGAAAAAGCAATTGTCCATCCACGGACTCCCAGACATATGTATATGTAGGTAGGGATGGATTATCACGTACCAGCGACAAGGATGAGCGCTGCGGCTGCTGCCCACTCTCTCCGGATGGGGTACATAGGAGCTGCAGCTCGGCAAGCAAATCATGACATTTTTACGGTCGGGTATAATTCCCGTTTTGCCGTCAGCAGAAGGAGTGATCTCACTATCGTTATAACTAATTTCTTCTCACTTACGTGATCCCCAATGGGGCGAGGGAAGGCAGAAAAGAAAAAATTTCCTGGCAAAAGAACACGCTCATTTGGGCATACTCGGCCGTATTGAAGTGGTACTAAGTCCATAACCGGGATGGGTCGGTAACCGCACCCACTGTGCCTTAGTGACGCTGCAGGTCTAAGACCAGACGGTTGTTATTCTTAGGCCTGGCCTGATCGATGCTCTCCCACGCGGGTCACTTACTACTAGTACTGACTGACGGACTGACGGACTGCCTAACGACTAACTAGTCTAGCTTGTCTCGACCCCGTCGCTCTTTCGCTCGCTTCCCTTCCCTTTCCATTCTGTCTTTCTCTTCCCTAGACTTTGCTGCTACTCTTTCCCCCCCTCCTCCTCCTCCTCTTCTCATCACCTTCGATCACCGTCTTCTTTACCCTAACCTCTTACCTTTTTCCCCTCTCACCCCCCTCCTCCCCTCTTTGCCTTCTTTACACCTTCTTTTTTCCCTTCTCCCCTTCTCGGTTCTTCCCTAGGTCTCCCCGGAGGTAGCAAGCAGGCAGCAGACGGGATCTCGTTGACGGGCAATCACTCGCCCACGCACTTGACTCATCTCAGCACCCGTCAACTTGTGAGCAGGCGGTAAATCCCGTTCGGTGTGAATTGATGCCGTAAAGGACCCAATCGAACCACGCCAAAGTTTCCTGGGTGAACCAAGAAGGTGAAGCAAGAGTGGTAGCAATCCCGAGGCCGGAACCTTGGTCTAGACGTGGATCCTCGTCCCGGTTGGAGGGTCAATTGTGGGAACGGCATACATATCCATCCAGTAATCACCACCTCGTACCTGACGGGCCCTGAGGGAAAGGGAAAGGGTGGTGATATTAATCTCTTCGACCGACGTGCACGTTTCACTCAGTACACTTGCTTGTGCGGCAATTATGGATTAGGACTCGAGGGGCGCTTGAGATATAACCACCTGCGAAGCTCGAAAACGGATAGTTCGGTTTAAAGAAAAGACAAAAAGGAAAATAGTCGCCGTGTTTTCTTTCTTTCCTGTCCTTTCGTTCTTGCAGGTATGTGATTCGACTTGCGATTGTATGGGTTGAATGCTGGGTGATAGGATGATGTTGCTCGATGCTGACGGGTTCCTTACCCTGGCGAATAGATCTCTGTTGATGCCTTTCGGTCATTTTTCTTTCTCTAATCATTCGATACTTGTCGGCTGTATATCCCAGCCGACGTCCGCTCATTGGTATTCGCTACGATTTCGAGTCTTCTAATAGACGTGGAAGCTCTCATCCGCTCAACTCTACCGCAGTCACTCTTTCGACAATTGATTTAGTATTATTCGCCTTTGCCGCCTTTCTTTTACCATCACTCAAAAGTCAACTATCGTCTCTTTCTATACGCTCCTTGTGTTCGACTTTACTACAGTCGCCTTCGATCGACTTAATCACCGCGCTCCTTTGCCGTCAGAATTCGTGTCGTGCAGGCAGACACTTCCCTTCACTTCACAGTCCTTCGCTTTCATTTCGAGATCACTTCCCTCACCATTCTTTCGATTTTGCGAAGCTGCGGTCAGCAGTCTCCGCACTTCAGCACATACACAGATATTTCGGCCAGACGTGGATGTTATCAGGATGGCCCATCATGGCACAGGACACGCTCGGTTCAACAGAGTGATGCGGAAGAAATATCAATTGGATTCTGCATACTTCAGCGAAACTGGGAAGGGTCCAGAAAACCCCGCGACGCCGACAATTATACCGCAACAGACGGTTGGAACTGGGATGGAGGGTGAGCTAACCCTGGACCTGGTGATGCAGGCACAGGATGTGCACGACAGTCAGGGATTGTCCCTCGAGAAGCGCCAGCAATCAGACACAGCCACGGGGGATCAGGCTACGGTGTCTGCGACTATCATCAACGTGGTCGACAGCAATTCGCAGGCTAGCACCGGCACTTCGGCAACTGCACCGACAACGATATCTGAAGAGTCGACTGTTCCCGTGATTTCAGGCTCGTCAACAGACACTGACTCATTGCTCCTGTCGCTTTCTGCCACCGTTTCGGTAGATCTATCCCTGACTGCTTCGCCTGCGTATTCTTCTCCGACCGCAGACACACCGGCAGTAACAAGTACACCTGAACCGTCCTCATCCGCCCCACCGTCGTCGGCGCCCGCCGCTTCGAAGACGTCTACTCCGCTATTCGGCTCTACTGCAACCGCTCTTCCTTCTTCTGCACACCCCCAGCCATCAAGCGCATTGTCTAGCTCCAGTCCAAGTAGCACACAAAACGCTAGCCAGGTTACTGGCTCAAGCTCTGCTTGGGTGTTCGGATCCGGTTCACAATCTACGACTTCCTACGTGACTCAGACGAACTCCGCCACGACATCTACCTTCTCATCGGATTCTACTTCCACCACTTCGCTTTACGGAGCTTGGGGTACGGCCTCGAATGGAGGGGGCGGAGGATCAGGGGCAACTGCCACCGGACAAGGTGTCTCGCCTTCATCCTCTTCGGGCAACTCCAGCTCCAGCTCGGGCTCGGGCTCGGGCTCGGGCTCCCTGAGCAGCCAAACTAAAGGCAAGATAGCCGGTGGTGTGGTTGGTGGCGTGGCTGCTGCTATGTTCGTGTTCGTAATTGTTGTCTGGCTGCTCCGCCGCCGCAAGAAGAACATCCTGCCCCCATCTGGGGACGCTCTCCCCGAGCCTGACACGACCGGGACAGCTGAAGGCTCTCTCCCGCGCTCGGCGGAGATGACATCGCGGCGGTCTAGCGACGACCCCTTGTTTACTGCGTCATACTTTGCGCCAGCTTTTATGAAGCGATGGCGCCAGTCGCACATGACGACGCGCACCGACAGTACACTAAGCTCTGAGCCTAGCGAGCGTGGGTTCCAAAAGATCTCCGGCCGTAAAATTCCTTCAGTGCTGCAGTCAGGAGGGGACGGCTACGGCGGTGGATATGAACCGGGATCCCCTACTGCGTCTGAGCCGAGCACGCTTTTTTCTCCAAGCTCACCAGTTCAGCCACGGTCACCGCCAACGCAACCGCCCGTGGCGACACCGTATGGCATGCCGTTGGATACCAGCTATACTCGAGAAGCGGCGGAGGTGGGAGGTGTTGTGGTGTTTCGACCATCGCCAGCCCGCACACCAGTTACCGGGTCCGCCAACGCCAGTCTGTCCAATGAGCCAACCGGGCCACGGGTCGTTTCGCAAGTCGGAGCGCTCTCCCCGACAATGCCCAAGCGGCCTGATGCGCTCGGACGAAGTCACCCGAGCTTCGATGGCAGTCGGGGCAGTCGGTTTACGGAGAGTATATAAGAGGTTCTCCGGGGGGATGAGGGTATATACTGGTGCTCTGTACATACGTGGAGGAGTTATACATAGGGTTCCCGGGTGGTGTTCCCGGACTGGCGATGGTCATCATGTCTGGATTCTGTACTACTTGCTAGCTTGTTTCTTATGGATACCCCAATTCATTTTCTTTGCATGTTCGTGCCATTTGTGAGGGTTCTGTGCTAATCTACTTATAATTTCAATGTGAATAATGTCTACTAGCCAAGTTTAGTTTGGTACTCTACCTTTCATTGCAACTGCGTCGTGATTCCTATATGTGAGGCCTGCTGTTATCAGCCGATGACATAAGATGCCACCAACCAACCAGCGACGCGGCTTTATCATCCGCACCCGGCGATCCCTTGCATTTGTATTTAGTCCAATACTATATCCCCTCATTCCCCCCTCATTGCCCCTCTCCTACTTCCATTTCCATTCCCCGAACTCATCATGAAAGAACCCGTCATTCCAACGACTTCTCTTCCTCCTTCCCCCTCCCCCCGTCCTCTCCGCTTCCTCATAATTGGCGCTGGATCTCGTGGCACCGCCTACGCCCGTGCTGTCACCACCGCTACTCAAGGCACCATCCACGCCGTCGCCGAACCACACCCCTTCAAGCGCCGACACCTCGGCCGCTCCTACATCTGGGGCGAACACGGCACTCCCCAAGACGGCCAGGAATTCCCCGACTGGCGCGCCTGGCTACAATGGGAGCAACAGCGCCGAGAAACCAATAATGACCCCCGGGTCGGTGTCGACGGGGTCTTCATCTGCACCCTTGACTCCACCCACGTCGAGATCCTCCACGCCATCGCCCCTCTCCAACTCCACATCCTCTGCGAGAAACCCCTCGCCCTATCTCTAGAAGACTGCCTATCCGTCTACCGCGCCCTCACCCCCAACCTCCACACCAACATCTTCTCCATCGGCCACGTCCTCCGCTACAGCCCCCACAACATCCTCCTCCGTAAACTCCTCCTTCTCGACCGCGTCATCGGCGACATCGTCTCCCTCGAGCACACCGAACCCGTCGGCTTCTGGCACTTCTCGCACAGCTATGTCCGCGGCAACTGGCGTCGAGAAACCCCCAACGGGGACGGCTCCCTACTAACCAAATCCTGCCATGACATCGACTTCATCATGTGGTTACTCTCCAGCCCTCCTCCCTCCTCAGACCCAACCTCGCAACAACAACAACAACAACCCATCCACCCCCGAACCATCATCTCCACCGGCTCCTTGACCCAGTTCCGCAAATCCCAAAAACCCCCCGCCGCAGGCACCGCAACAAACTGTCTCTCCTGCCCCGCAGAAAGAGACTGCATCTACAGCGCCGTCCGAATCTACAATGACATGCACGTCGCCAAAGGCGACATAGACTGGCCCGTAAACATCGTCTGCGAAGACATCGAAGATATCCTCCCCAAAGCAACAACCACCACCACCCCTAGAATCAACAAGTCTGACCCCATCCCCACCGAACACATCCCCCTCGCTCAATCCCACCTTCTCACCCGTCTCCGCGAAGACTACGACCAAACGTCCACCACCACGGACGCAAACGATTCCATCCACTCCCGCCCATGGTACGGCCGCTGCGTCTACGAATCCGACAATAACGTCTGCGACGACCAAACCGTAACGATAACCTTCTCGTCCGACCCACCCAAAACCGCCATGTTTCACATGATCGCCCCCACCGAAAAGCAATGCGAGCGACGCGGCCGGGTATACGGCACACTGGGCGAAATCACCTACGATAGCCGCACGATCACCATCTACTCGTTCCAGACGAGAGAGACTACGACGATTACGGTGCCGAAGAGGCCGGCGGAGGAGGAGAAGGCGCATGGCGGAGGGGACTATGGGCTGGCGAGGAGCTTTGTGGATGCTGTGGATGCGGTGGTTAATAAGGGGTGGGGGGTGGCGGAGGCACAGAGGAGGTTTGTTGGGTGTGATTTGGAGGAGGCGGTTAGGAGTCATGCGGTGGTGTTTGCGGCGGAGGAGGCCAGGAGGGAGGAGGTGGTGGTTAAGTGGGGGGAGTGGTGGGGAGGTAAGGTTAAGGGGGTGGGTTTGTAGTACTTTGTAATGATGGGTTGGTTACTGGTTATGATGTTATGAGAACATGATCTGTTTTATGATGCTATTGTGGTTTTGAGTTTATGGTCAGGGTACATATATATAATGGTTTATTGTCTAAGGATGGAGGAAAGCATAGGATATATGAAAGAGAAATATACTGATTATTCCTTATTAACTACTCAAAAAACGCTATGAACATCAATCATGCTCTTTGCTTATGTGCGGACATCAGGCTCCTCACGGCCAATGTACTCCTTGAACTTAAGCAGCTCCAGAGCCAGAGCCACGTTGTCCTTCAGGTACTCGTCCGTGGCGAGGCCGAGCTTGCTGGCGTCGCTCTCGTACTTCTCAATGTACAGACGGATCGTGGCGCCGCTGCTGCCAGTGCCAGACAGACGGACGACGATGCGGCTGCCATCGTCGAACTTGACGTACAGACCCTGGTTCTTGGTCACGCTGCCGTCCAGGTCGGTGTAGGCGAAGTTGCCGACGTCGACAACCTTGCGGCCGGACACGGTCGAGCCAACGAAGGTGTCCTTGTTGTCGACCTTCTCCGACAGGGTGGCGATCACCTTGTTGGCACCGTCGCTGTCGACGTTCTCGTAGTCGTACCGGGTGAAGAAGGTACGGCCGTAGGTCTGCCAGAACTCGTTCTGGATGGAAGCGATGCTGGGGGTCTCGCTGGGCTTCTGCTTGGCAACGCCAGCGATGACGTTCAGCCAGGCCACGATGGCCCACAGGCCGTCCTTCTCACGGATGTGGTTGCTGCCAGTTCCGAAACTCTCCTCACCACAGATGGAGATCTTCTGGTTGTCGAACAGGTTGCAGAAGAACTTCCAGCCCGTGGGCACCTCGTAGCTCTGCAGGCCCTGGGCCTTAGCCACGCGGTCGACGGCACCGGAGGTGGGCATGGAGCGCGCCAGGCCGTAGACACCCTGCTTCTGGAAGTAGGGGATGAGCTTGGCGTGGTGGGCAATGATGGCCAGACTGTCACCGGGGGAGACGAAGGTGTTGGCGCCGTAGATCATGTTACGGTCACCGTCACCATCACTAGCAGCACCGAAGTGGATGCCATTCTTGTCAACGCTCTCGACGAGCTCGTGGGCGTAGACCAGGTTGGGGTCGGGGTGGCCACCGCCGAAGTCGGGCTTGGGCTCGCAGTTCATGGTGCTGCTGGCGGGCAGACCCAGCTCGTTGACGAAGATGTCAACACCGTAGGGGCCAGTGACACCGTGCATGCCATCGAACAGCACCTTGAAGTCCTTGTGGGTCTCGAGGAAATCGCGGATGAGGTCGAAGTCGAAGATCTCCTTCATCATGGTGACGTAGTCGGTGGTGGAGTGGACAACCTCAACCTCGATGGGGCCGTAGGTCTTGGAGCCGATGGTGGTGGTGTCAACATCGGGGATGTCAATGTACTTGTAGGAGGTGAGGGACTTGGAGGTTTCGAAGATCTTGTTGGTGACGGATTCGGGGGCGGGAGCGCCATTGGCAAGGTTGTACTTGATACCGAAGTCGTTCTCAGGGCCTGAGTAGCAGCAGCATACTGTCAGTGTGGAGTCCATGTGCCTGATAGCTGAATTACGTACCACCAGGATTGTGACTGGCCGTCAGGAGGATACCACCGGTGGCCTTGCGCTTGCGGATGAGGTTGCTGGCAGCGGGGGTGGAGAGGATGCCATTCTGGCCGACCAGCAGCTTCTTGACACCATAAGCGGCACCGATTTTGGCAATCTTCTGGATGACCTCGGTGTTGTAGTAGCGGCCATCGCCACCGATGACGAGGAAAGCGCCCTCAGCACCCTCGGGGATAGAGAGGATGATGCTAGTGACGAAGGACTCGGAGTAGTTGGGCTGCTGGAAGACCTTGACCTTCTTACGAAGACCGGAGCTGGGTGTCGTGTCAGTTAAAAGGACGACTCATAACTTAAAAGCCAGAGGACATGGCAGCAAGGAAAGTCAATCAAGGTACTTACGTTCCCGGCTTCTGGTCGGTGAAGGGAGTGATGGAGACGGTTTGAACGGACATGGTGGGGAGGGGAGGGGGGGTATAGAGATGGTATGGATAGAAAGAGAGAAAGAGGGAGGGGAGGGGAAGCTGGAGGGGGTATGGACGGGAAGATATAGAAACGTCGGGAGGAGAAGCTCACCGACAATTGAAGCGAGAGAAACAGGGGGAGGAAAAGGAGCAGGGAGAAGGGAGGGGCAAAGAATGGAAGGGAAGCCGGCGAGACACGAGCGGGGAGGAAGTAAATATAGACTGGCAATTAGCTTCGACTTTGCGAGTCTTCGCCCAACGCCAGGACCCCACCAGGAGGGGCCCATGTCAGCATGATGACTTCAGGCCAGAGCTTCATTCGATCCCCCCATCGCGATACACTGTACACTACGACACTCGAGCTGCAGATGCCTGGAAAAAACCGGCCATTCTTGCTGCAATCCCGGATCCATTGGGCATCCATCCAGCTGTCTACATTGTAATTGGGGTCTACCCCTCTCTATGCTTTCGTGTACGTTGGGATCTTTTGTGGGAAGAGCTTCCCGGGTCCGTTCCCTCGCTCAGACATATTCGGCTACAATCCGAACAGTTGCCCCCGGTAGAATCGCATCTCCTCGATGCTTTCCAGAATATCGTCCCGGGCAAGATGGACCTCCTTCTTCCCTGGCACGGACTCTAGTAGCTCGTCTGAACCCCACCGTCGTACCATTTCCTTGAGTGCACTCACGTCCACGATCCGATAGTGTAGCCATTCTAGCACCGCCTGGTATGGTCCCTTAGCCAGAAACGCCTTGTCGGCGTGGACACTGTTCCCCGCCAGCAGTCCTCGCCGGGGCTGTGGCACGTATTTCTGGATATAGGCCAAAAGAGCCGTCGCAGCCTCCTCCGCGGTGGTGGTCGAGGCCTGCACGGCCGCCGTCAGCCCTGTGCGACCGTGGGTCTCGATGCACCATGCGTTCATGTTTTCTAGGACTGAGGTCGGGTGGTGGATGACGGTTTCGAAGCCCTGGGGTTCGAGGAGGTTGAGGTTGGCATCGGTGATGAAGCAGCAGATTTGGAGAATCTGGTCGGTGTCCGGGTCAAGGCCGGTCATCTACACGCCGATCGAAATGTTTGGAGTTCGTCAGTCGCGGCTGGTAGCTGGTAGAGGGGTAGAAGCACAGGAATGCCGCACCTCGCAATCAATCCACACCAGGGGATCGGAGGAACGTGTCAATGGCATGGCTCTTGGAAGCGGTAAGTAGAATACAGTATCTCCTGGGACTCCTTCAGACAATCAGCAAGAATTGGATGCAGGCGTTGGCATGAGGTGGTGTTGGTCTCAACATGAGGGAAGGAAAGATTTTTGGTCGGCGGGGAGCGGCTCTCCACTCGAAACGGACCACGGTAGGGAGCTCCCACAGCAGCGTCATCCACACTATGGCTGCCATTCAAGCGCCGGCTACAGCCTACGTCTCCTTCATTAGGCTTTACAGGTACGAACGGGATCCAAGAACGTAGCATAAATCGTTAAATGCAACTTGCGTGACTCATTGCGTCTATATCAATTACCTTCGCCTGTCCGCTGTTCTAGCTAGAGAATCAATTACCCAGCCGCCCACAGAACTGAGAGAGATGGATATGAAAGTAGAGGGTAAAAGTACTTAGTCATGATGTTTTCGTCAGAAATGGACCATATCCAAACAGTAGATGTCAGCTGTAGTTAGAATGGTAAATAAGAATTGAGAAAAGATCAAATCAGAGTGTAGATGGTGCTGCGGTCTGGCACAGCTGGCTAGCGCGCCGTCTCGCACCAATCCATCGTGGCGTCTGAGGTGAACAAGAAAAAAAAGAAAAAAAAGAGGAGGTTGCAAAAATTGTGGGTAGACATCTGTATCGCTGAATATGGGCATGGATGATGGGAGTTGAAGCAACCGGTTACAGTTCCTCATCTTCGGTCTCCTGGGGCTTTTGCGGGTGTGTCTCAAGGGAGTTGGTTGCCTTGGTACTGTCACCTGGGCCAACATTCGTAATCTCTTGGGAAAGTCCCGACTCCATTCGTCGGCGCATGGCGTCTTCATCAGAATGTGAGACGCTCGCCCGTTGCTTCTTCAATGGACTGCCGATGAATCCTCCGTTCAGCGTGTTAGCGGCTGGCTTGGGGGTTTCAGCGGCCGTAGCCGCAGCAACAGCGGGCGGAGTAGTGGACGGATCGTTGGTCGCAGGCGTGTCCCCGGCTGTATTGGGGCTCGCACTCTCGGCCGGAGGTGTATTCGTAGCTAACGAGGCAGACGAATGCTGACGTTTAAGCTGTGTACAACAATTAGCCGGTGGTAGAGACACTAGTATCAGTACTTGACGTACCTTTATTTTGCGTATACTTTCCGCGAGCTCCCCTTGCCGTCGGATATCGTCCGGAGACAAATGAAGATCATCTTCTTTGCCCTCCTCTTCATCTGCTTTACCGAGAATCGAATTGTCTTCATCGTCTTCACTGTCCATCTCGTCATCCTCACCAGACTTCTTGCCTTTCTTTCTTTCTGTGCTGTCGCGGAAGTTCACAAATCCGACCGTGCCGCCCGGTTTCAGGGGACCGAGATTGGCGAAGTCTGGCTGCAAGGACCGACGCTTTGCGGATCCGGGAGTTTCTTGCGCCTTGGGGTCTCTCAGAATTCCCATCTTTTGCAATTGACCTGTGTCCTAGTCAGTCGATAACTCTACTTTGAACCAGAGGGGATTAACTCACGCTCGCCACGGTACATGAATGTGAAGGTGGCGTAAGGTTTGTCGGACGGGTCGATGCCTGTCACGGTCTGCGTGCTAATCGTCTTGGGGTCGAGCGTCTTTGGCTTCGCAAAGCTCGTTGTGTGATCAATGTCCGCATCAGCTGCCCCTTTATGTCCATTCTCGCCCTGGGCTTCGTCATCATCGTCATGAGCATCGAACTGTGGTGAGTACTCTCCGCGCTTAATCTCCCCAGATGCCAGGACACGGAACAAAGCCACCTTGATCTGACCCGCAGACTCGGGGATCGGGTCATCGTCCGAATCGGAGAACGACATGTCGTCGTCCGAAACATCTTCTAGCGGGGACTTTGCATCGTTGCCATAGCGCATGACTCCTTTGCCCGACTTTGCGTCCATCTCCAGATCTCCAGTTGCTTCCCGCTTGATTCGGCGCTTCTCCATTTTTTGTCGTCGGCGCTCGATCTTGGCGGCAGCGTCTTTACCCTCCAAGTCCAAGCCGTTCAGCCATCTTTCTAGTCCGACTTCGCGGAAGAGAAACTCCCGTTCGGCGAGACCTCCGCCCTCTGATACCGGTACGCTGACCCATCGAGAGTTGACCCACGTTTCTTCACCCCTTCGCAGCAGTGTGGCCACTTCCTCCTTGGCCCGGCCATCAAAGTAGATGTAGGCGGCGACCGTTTCATTTGGCGAATTAGTCAATGCTTGGTACGGAGCAACCGTGCTGCTGTACTGGCCTCGCTCGCCGGTAGTCCCGGGTAGCCCACCAACTACCTTCGGCTTGGGTGCGGGGTTGTCGGGGGTCGGTTTCGGGGCGGAGTATGGGACGTCTTGGCCGGGGTTGAGAAGGGTGATGGAGATAGCGAACGTTGACTGCTCAGGGCGTCCAGATCCGGATTCAGGGATCTTGGGTGGTGGCACGGGGATGTAGCAAGCTATGCGAGACGCCCGGGACTGGCGTTGAATGGAGTATTCGGAGATAGGTCCGTCCGGAGTGTGTATACTCACGGCGAGACCCTTGAAACAGGGCATGGCGGGGCAGGGATGCGGTTCGCGGCGATGAAAGGTGTTGTGTGAGTAATTTCGAAGCTAGCGTTTCACCCAGCTGGAAGTGAAGGAACGGAGGGGCAAGAGAGGGAGGGCGAGAGTGCGTGGAATCGTCCCCAGGAGAGCTAGTTGTGGGTGGTGGAGGCGGTCAGGGTTCGTAGTGTGTTTGGCCTGCTACCGACAGCCCTCGTCGGGGGGTAGGATGACCGATTCACGGCCAAGGACGAGGCCTATGGGGCTTGTCAATTCCAAGAAAGCGATGTGTTCGCCGGAGTGAGTCAATCGACGGGTCCCTTCGTCTGCGCGAAACTCAGGTAGGTCCGCCAGTTGCGCAGAGTGAGAGGGAGGGGAAGCGTTGCTAGAGGGCGCCAACGATGAGCTAACAAACATGAAACATACCAGGCTAGGTTCAACAAAAAGGAAGTAAGGCAACAAGAAATAAGAGTGTTGATTGCTGCAGTAAGAGCAGTCAAGACAAGCTTTCGAGCCGATCAAGATACGAGGAGCAAGACTGGACTGAATCCGGGATGGAAGAAAGGGAGGGAAAGTCCGGAGTGATGTGGGAGGACGAGGGAGAAGTGGAGGTGACGATCGACGCCGGCTGGAACTCCGCCTGCTTCCCTGGATCGCTTCCGCTGCTCTGGTGTCGGGCGCCTTGTCCTCTTCCTTCCAGGGGCCTCACTCACGCAGCCCAAAATTCAATGTGTCTGCGAGTCATTGGTGAACTTTTGTTATTTGCTGAAGATCCCTTCTTACAGGGGTACTTCCTGGTCTTTCTCAAGGATGTCTCAGGGTTTTATACATCCTACCTCTACCTGCACTCCTAGCCTACAACTACTAACTTCCTTGTTTTGTTTTGGATCAGTGGACCAGTGTCTATTGGCGGTGCTCTTCACGCCCATTAGTACTCTATATATAAGCTAGATCCCGATTTACAATCCCCGTCTTCGCGCTTCCTCTCTCGCAACGGTGGCAAGTTCTGGGAAATCCCGATCGAGGCTGTCGAACAGCGCCTCCGCTTTCCGTCGCTTGCGCTCTTCAATCTGACCCTGCAACTGACTGATTTTCTCCTGAACCTTCGCATGTGAGTCCACCAGGGAAAGATCCAGAAGTTCATCGGCATATCGACGGAGCTCTTCCAATTTCCTTTCAAGAAAAGAGATACTGGCTTCATCTGTAGTGGCTGGAACACTCGGCTCATTGGCCGGCCGTCGGAATGCGCCATCTCCTGGCGTCAGGGAAAGTAGAGGAGATGCGTGCCTGAAGGGAGCCTGAAAGGAAGGCTCAGCTTCAGCAGGGCTATGTTCCTCAACGAGATCACTGATACGGAGCTGCCCTTTCGGGCCTATACTCCGTGAAGACATGACATAGGGACGAGCGCTTGAGTGTATAGTATCCTCTGTACTTTGCGACTGTACCATACCACGATTTGTGAAAGTACTATAGTCCTCCTGCTGTCGTGGTAGTTCCGCCTCTTCATCACTAACCTGGGTTCTCGGTCGTTTATGTGCCCGGGAAGGCACTTCAGGCGGGAGGGATGCGCTATGAGTAGCCATACTAGCTCTTTTGCCTCGTTTTTGGTCGAATACGTTGTCGGTGAACCCCATGATTCGACCGCGAGGATCAATCGACTTGATCCGAGACCGCACAGGCTTGTCTTTGCTAGAGTAAGGAAGAGGGAAGTGGCAGCATCGGCAATTGCAAAAATGGGAGCACTTTGGACATACCCATGGATCTGTGTTCCTCAGAAAGGGTATCAAATCCACGTCAAAGTGTCGATGGAGGCCCCGGAAGCAAAAGAATGCGGAGCATTGGGTACATGCCACCCCTTTCCAGGCAGGATGACTGTCACGGCACAAGTGACAGAGTCGCTCCTGATTTATTTAGTTCGTGCCCCTTCAATACCAAGCTAAACAGAGATACTGGGGTTATTCCGTACCATCATCGGTTGTTTCCGTGCATCTGCCGCGGCAGCAGCCAAGGCGCCCAGAGACTTTTGCCTGGAAAAGGTAGAATTAGAGGCACACTCTTGATCACATAAGACTCTTGAAACGGGACTAAAGTATAGGTTGTGAGGGAGATAGAGCCCGTATGCTTGAAGGGAAAGGTCATACTTTGGATGTTTGATTCGGGAGAGTAATCGACCACGCAGTCTGTTCCGAGTCGACTGAATAACCTCCATGCAGTAGGCGCGCGGAATGAGTTCGGCCCATGTATAGTCAGCAACGTGTTTGCAGCTGCGTCCAGAGATAAAGCACGTCAGACATAAGTCAAAGTCGCCGCACTGCTCGCAGTGCAGATGCCGATTCCATATTGTCAAGCCGCAGAAATTACATTCTACCACGGCCCCCTGGGTATCCACGGTCTTCATTGGAGGGACCGAGTCAGTCTCAATAGCTTCATCATCCAGCAATTTTAGAAAGACGTCCAGGAGAAGAGCTTCGTCCTCAGTTCCTAGAGAACCTCGGATTAAGGCATGTAACGGGATTAGAGGGACTCGGCCAGTGTCTGCATGGCAGTATCGCTGGTAGAATGGCTGGATGTAGTCGAAGAAAGAGACAAGCGAAGAGCTATGCATAACATTCCAGACTACCTTAGTAACCATCGGACTGATATTCCAAATTTGATGGGCAGTAGCTGAAGGAAATATTACCAAGTCTCCAGGTTGCTGATGGGTAATGTATATAGGAAAATTGGCGGACTTGAGCTGGGTAGTAGAAACGTCGGTCCAATCGGTATGGGGAGACTTTCCCAATCTCTCCATATATGTATCGTATACGGCCTGTGAGTGTTTATCGGTGCCAAAGCAGATGGACCCAGGGCCAGCACCTAACCCGATCATCAGAACGTTTGTCGAGAACGTCAAATATGTCTCGTCATGCGTTTACCTTCTGATTCAACTAATAGATTCAGCGCAACTGTTCCGCTAAAACATCTGTGAAATCCTGAACTACCCCATTATAACATGGTTAGTGGACATAGGCGTCTGGAAGGCAGCAGAGACTCACGAAGATTTCCGAGTCCCAACATACGCCATCAGCACCTCCGGCGCTATCTCCTTTGGCAACGTCCGGAATAAGTCAAGAGACCCAAGATGTCTCATAGCTGAAGGAAGAAATGCATCTAATGCCTTGATCCATTCCTGTGGGCACTGGAGGTCTTTTGCGTACAAACTGGCTTGCCTATCAGTTTACGCTCGGAACAGTAATCATATTAACGTACAACTCTCGGACATTGCCGGTACGAGCATATTCTGTCTGCGAAAGGAGATCCTGGAGCCGCATTTTCGCATCTCGCCCGGTGTGGCAGTTTCTTACCGGTATCGCTGTCCATGCGTAAAGATGTCAACGGCTACACTTTTCAGGCTGTTATGTCGTGGGCATACCTGCTGAGGAAGAGAGGCTGCCTAGTCTCTCATTGTTCAGAACCGACCTGTCCCATTCTTTCAGTCGAGAGAAGCCACGTATAACAAATGGCTTCCCATCGCGGAGTTTTGTCTCCACCCATTTTGTGGTTTCGTCTTCTGACAGATGAGTGATGTCCTGAACAGAATACTCGGAAAACGGGATGAACGGCTCTCCAGCGCGCAAGAGGTCCTGCACAGACGGGGGCGCCTGTTGTAAAAAGTCCATATCATATCAATCTTAAAAGAAACATTGTCACACCGTTAAGACATGAATAAGGGTATTCCCAAGGCATTGGCCTTCGACAGAAGATTGATATCACACATCGGTCGGCCATCTCGGAACCGGGGCTCTGATTGCTACTCACACGTGACTTCTGATTCCCCGCATATGTGATCTAACCATTTACGGTAATCTGTGAGGTTCACTCCTTAGCAGGTCCACGGCGATGAAAGTAAAGAAATCCTTTAATTTTGTCTAACAAAAATGAAAGAAAAAGCCTGAAGTATGGCCATGAATAGCAAGTTATCAGCGTAAGGGAAAGTACGTATTAGCCTGCGCACTCTTGATCACTGTCACAGCAGTCTTAGTTCCGAGGTCCAGACTCGACGCAGCGCCCTCAACTGGTGCTTATATCCTGATGGGGGGTTACATTGTTTTTCGACACCGTAGTGCAATATAAAAGATGGTCCGATATGATGAGAACCAGCGGGGTTCAATGTAGTACTAACGTCATGGCAGACCGCTACTACTAGGGTCAACAGCCGCCCGCCAGTTTGTCTCGCTCTGCAATGATATAGACATAGCCCTCAGAGTTGGAGACGCAGAACTTATTAGCGTAACGGCGAATATATTGGTTAGAGTAAGCAGGAAACCCTACCTCAGCTACAGTTTGGGATCTTAAATTCGGGAATCGTAGGAATTGACGTCGCATGGTCCCTTCCGAGGAAAGCTGCGCAGACCCTGGTCGAGGCTACAGCAGCTTAATACCGAAATTGACTAGTCGAGTCGTCTGAAGTGCGTGATTTGGGATCAGATCCCGACTCAGCTTTTCGCTGTGCGCTACCCATTACTTGGCTTGAACCTTCAATATTATGGCATGATTTCCATTTAATCAGACAGGCTGGGGTCTCCTTTCAAGTATCCGACGCATGCGCTCCTGGAATCCCACCTCCGCCATCACTTATAGCTCGACCTACATCAAGAATATCGATATCCGGGTAAGGCGAAAGCGGAAGCTACCTGGAGGGAGGCCCAGACGCCAGCCCCCGACTTCCAGGCTGTTGCCCGGGCCGTGTCGTATTGAGCGGGTCATCCAAGGCAGGTGGCCAGGACAGGCGGCTGGGAAGACAGGTAAAGTCTGGATCCAGCATGGCAAAAGGATGCGCGGGCCAGCTTATTGGAGGGTCGTTGGGTGCCGTCCTCGAGCCTAACTAAGCCTAATCCAGGCTTTGTCCAGTCAAACCTCCGGCCGAGACCCCTTCATCCCTTTCATCCCCACATGGTGCTGTAACCCCAGATCCATCGAACCCTCGACCCGCCTTGTCAACGAGCGGGTTTGGTCACCTGTTGAGAACAACACAGGAAGTCGGGGTATAGCTTGGCAGTAATATTTGCCCTCACAGGCAGTAGCCAATCCAACTATAATCGATGACAAGTTTGGACTATGGACGTTAGCATCATTTCGGATTCTGAGTGGCAAAAGAAACTCGCTGACTGGGCTCGACTTCTTTCAAGATGACCCTCGCTCCGCCCCTGACCCAAGATTACTCCGTCCGGTTACACCTGCTGATCGAATCGGCTAGTTGCGTGGCTTACCGTCTTTGTAAATCAACCAAGGGCCAGGGTGTTTTCGAAAAGAAAATGTTATACACTCTGGTGAAAAAATTGGGCCGCTGTTGCTTTTCCCCATTTATCTCGATAAACTCTCACCTCCACGTGAGCATGACGCAAGGGTGAATGGAGTGTGGGCAAAAAATCTCCGTGAATATGGAATAAGTACGTAAACAGTGCTCCTATAGAAATGGCAGGCTGGTCCTGTGAGAACAGACTGGCTCAGACAGCGACTAAATTGCTCATGTTACCTGCCTTGTGTGGTTCCACTTGTCGAGTCCTCTAAAACCAAGGGCACCAGTGTCCAATCGCTTCTCAATTAACTCTAAACCCAGGAAATAATTGAGCAGTAGTGGCAGTCCGTTCCCTTCCCCGGCTGCAGGTGGCCAATAAATGCGCCCACCAATCTGCATTGGGCTCAACATTTGCCAGCCGGCATCGCTCTAATTGTCAACACTTGGCTCCCGAACTCCACGGTGGCGTTGACGGCGTTACAATGCGATGCATACACTAGCCAAGTGGAACCATAAGGGTGCAAACGAGAAGAAACTAGGAAAAAGTAAAGAGGCAGGCCTAATTACAAGGGGCAAGATTGCCACGTACGGGTGCGTCTGGTCCATAACCATCTAAATTCCATTCATACGATAAGGTTTTCTGGACAGTTGAAAGAATTGGTCGTCGTCAGGGATAATGGAAGCTCCAAAGAACATCATCTGATGCAACTAGCATTGCATTAGCTTTCTTTGAACATTTGCATGCGGATCAATGTTCTCAGCCATAGTTTGTACATATGCTATTCTTCCCCACCGGTCAGTGCTTACAAGGTGACAATGAAGACCAGTGTACCTATGCTGAAGTCAGCAGACTCAGACTAGCCCACCTCCACAAACATGCATTTCCTCATCGGTTGGAGGGGTGCAAAATCCAATTCCGTGCAAGCCCTCACTATCAGTCTATCTGGCCATCTGTCACCTGCCTGTACCATGGTTGCCTCAATTTCTTGGAAAGTCCTCTTTGGCAAAGGTTACCTTCTCCCGGAATGAATGTCCGGAGTAGTCTAAATTGTGGTAATTCCAAATGTCAGACGAACAGGAGCCTGTTAGATCTGACTATGATGAGAATACTTGTGTCCGCAGTGCCCTGTTACCATACACTGGGTATTTGTGCGCGGAAGTGAGGAAACAGCTACATTATCAAGGAGATGTAGTTCCAGTTAGCTTCAGATAGAATGGCCATGTGCCAGTTCCAATGAGTTTGTTGAAAGAAAGGTGCTTATGCTCTCAGATAATACAAGTCCTATCAATTACATCTGTTCCCATGTTTGATTGGATTGCCACTAGATCTTCTACCCCGGGTTCAGGACCCCCGCGGGGAAGAATGGAGGCATCACAGTACCGCACAATACTTCCATCTTGGTAAGAGCCTCCTGCAGCCGGAGGGTGAAGTGAATGCAACCGGACCTCGCCTCTTTGTTCAGGGCTCAACCCGACTATTCCCAACAGTGCGCTCTTAATTCACTTCCCCTCGCACCTGCTTACTTCAAGTCTTTTAATTCCCTCCGCCTTCCTAACTTCATCTCCATCTCACCCCGCATCTGTTGTGCATTCTTTCTCATCCCCGTACTTCCCCACGCCGCGGCTTCGACGCGCCCTGTTCCCTTTATCACTCCCACTATTGCGGCTAGTGATTGTCTGTACTCTAACTTGTGCAAGCACTCGATCCACACGCGCTTTTTTTCATCCTAAGCCAGGTAAAAACCATGGCAAAGGAGGAGGTGACCCCGATTCAGGCGGTTGACTCTGCTGTTGACCCCTAGTATGTGTCTTTCATGTTTACCTTTTCTTTCTTCGTCATGTATACTCACTTTCTTTGCGTTAGCGGCAGTCACAATGAGCCCGATGTTACTGAGAAGGGCACTACGGAGCACATTAATCTGAACAAGAATACTTCTGCCAAGTAAGTTACTTGATCTGGTCTTGGTGTCTCTGTCGTGTACCCAATAACCAATTCCATGATAGAATCAAGAATCCCCTGGCAGATCTGAGCCCAGCTCAAGTGGTCCAAGATGTCGAGGACTTTGCCACTGAATATCAGCTGACTGATATTCTCCCCTTGCTCAAAAAGGGAGCCCTTGTGGCACGCGATCCCGAAGACTTTCAGTCAGTGCCCGATATGACTAGTGATGAGATCACTGCCATTCGTGATGAGAAAGATCATAAGTGGCGTCAGCCTAAGGCTCTCTACTTCACCATCATTCTCTGCTCCGTCGGAGCTGCTGTCCAGTGAGTATCAAGCCCGAGACTCTCGCTTCCTTTCAGTACAACTTGAATGGTGATTTTGAGCTGTTTTGCTGATATTCCCGCCAGGGGTTGGGATCAAACCGGAAGTAATGGTAAGTTTGCCCTGAAACTTGAATATAGCAGTCCTCGCTAAGCTAAATCTATCATCTAGGCGCCAACCTCTCGTTCCCTGTTGCGCTTGGAATCCCTGAGGATGGTCCAAACGCGTCGAGAAACCAGTGGCTTGTCGGTGTCGTCAATGCGTGCGCAGCCCTTGTCCCCGTATCTTGTGAAGATCACCTTGAGACTAATGTTCTTGGATAGGGCTCCATACATGTCTAGCGCTGTCATCGGATGCTGGCTATCCGACCCACTGAACAAATATCTGGGTCGCCGTGGCGCTATTTTCATGTCTGCCATCTTCTGCCTTCTTGCTCCTATTGGATCGGCCGTCAGTCAGACCTGGCCTCAGCTGTTCGTGACTCGTCTGCTGCTGGGCTTGGGAATGGGCTTGAAGGCGTCTACAATCCCAATGTTCTGTGCAGAAAATACCCCGGCTTCTGTTCGTGGAGGTCTCGTTATGTGCTGGCAGTTGTGGACCGCCTTTGGTATCTTCCTGGGAACTTCCGCGAACCTTGCTGTCAAAGACACTGGGGATATCTCCTGGAGACTTCAGCTCGGTTCTGCCTTTATTCCAGCGCTTCCTCTGCTGATTGGTGTCTTCATGTGTCCGGAGTCGCCTCGCTGGTACATCAAGAAGGAAAAGATGCGTAACGCTTACCAGTCTTTGTGCCGCTTGCGCAACACCCAGCTGCAGGCCGCGCGTGATCTTTACTACATCTACGCACAGATCAAGGTCGAGCAGGATATTGCTGGAGTGAGCAACTATGCCACCCGATTTGTCGAGTTGTTTACCATTCCCCGTATCCGCCGTGCAACCCTTGCTTCCTTCGTCGTGATGATTGCGCAGCAGATGTGTGGAATCAATATCGTTGCCTTTTATTCCTCGACTGTCTTCCAGCAGGCAGGAGCCAACGTTACCGAAGCACTGTTTGCCTCCTGGGGTTTCGGGCTTGTAAACTTTATCTTTGCATTCCCGGCGGTGTTCACCATTGACACTTATGGCCGTCGCGCTCTGCTCTTGTTCACGTTCCCCCAGATGGCTTGGACTCTGCTGGCCGCAGGCTTCTGTTTCTACATCCCCAAGGAGCAGACGGCGCATCTGGCATGCATCGCTCTCTTTGTCTTCATGTTCGCGGCTTTCTACTCTCCCGGCGAGGGACCAGTCCCGTTCACTTACTCCGCAGAAGTCTTCCCTCTGTCTCATCGTGGTAAGTGTGAATACCCGGTACTCAAGTCATAACTAGGCTAACGAAAGCAGAGGTCGGAATGGCTTGGGCTGTGGCAGTTTGTCTCGGCTGGGCTGCGGTACTTTCAATCACCTTCCCCCGAATGTTGGCCGTTATGACTCCAACTGGTGCCTTTGGCTTCTACGCGTGAGTCCTGACATTATCTGATTATGCCCACCTCGGTCTTTTTTGCAGCCACTCTAACCGTTTTCAGGGCGCTGAACGTGACTGCCTTTGTTATGATCTTCCTGTGGGTCCCTGAGACTAAGCAGCGTACTTTGGAAGAACTTGACTACATCTTCGGAGTCCCGACTCGGATGCATATGCGTTACCAGATGTTTCAGGTGCTTCCCTGGTGGATCAACCGCTACATCTTCCGGCGCAACGTCCACTTGGAGCCCTTGTACAAGCTTGACCACCTTGCCACCAGTGGCTAAGTGGGATGCATCTGTCTGTGAGCACTCCAGGTTTCATGTGCGTGTACAATGAAACCGTTGCTTTCGACGCGGAGTACGGATGGGTATGTTTTTCCGCGAAGTTTTCGGCGTTTGGTGCGATTTTCCGCGCTCTAATTACGGGGTAGAATATGAGTGCAGGATACAATGAAATTGAGGGTGTTTGCAAGGATCTTCACTGAGTGAAAGATCATGTATTACTCTAATGAATGATAATTTATGATTAGTGCTTCGGTGTTCACTACATACGTAGGACTGATTCCTCCGCGAAGTGAGTAATCCATGCAGAGGGGTTCTGTCGATACTTCTGGCTGGAAAAATTGCAGCAGTATGTAAATAAAAACTGGTAGCAGAAGAGTGGAGGAAATTATGGGAGAAGAGGAGGGAAAGAGGGGGGGGGTTTATACTCGGAGACTGGGGGCCTCAGGATCATCATGTCCTCTACCCTCTGCCTCTCTTCTCACAGTAACATTTGCCACCATCGCCCAGAAAAGGCTGTCTCTGGGCACAAGCAAAGCGCCGGTCTGACCGGCGAGCAGCTATGCACGTGCACCTCAGAAGCGGGTCCACGATCTAAGTCTATACATCGGGCAACATACCGGGTTTGTTTCTGCATCCGCGGCCCGTACCTTGCATTCGAGTACATGCGACAAGTAGCACGTCAGTCCTCTCTATTGACTCCATTCCCCCCCAGGCCACCTCAACACTTATCTGACAAGATACCCAAAGGAAATCTCTAGTAGCTCCTCTTCACCGGCGGCACACTCTTACAATCCCCCTCATCCAACGTCTCCATAATCACTCCCCGATACCCCACCCTAACCTCCTCCTCCATCTCATCCTTCTGCCATGTCCAACTATGCCTCAACCACCTCTCATCGTCCCTCTCCGGGAAATCCTCCCTCGCATGACTCCCCCGACTCTCCGTCCTACACAACGCCGCCTTGGCCGTCTGCGCCGCGCACGTCAACAGATTTCTCAACTCCAACGTCTCCACGAGATCCGAGTTCCAGATTAGACTTCGATCGCTTGTTCTGAGTCGCGTGGAGAAGTCGTTCTGCACTTGAATCACTTTGCTTAATCCGGTGGTGAGGGATTCGTGCGTGCGGAAC